TTTAAATAAAACGCATACATTTCTAAGAATCATCACACAAATGTTTGTTGGATTACGTAGTCACGCGGCTAACTTTACTTCAGCCCAATGTCTATAATTTCAAACTATAGTTTTATGAAGTCAGATAATTATACCAACCTGCTGAAGAATGAGCGTATAGTACTCTGTGAATGGTTTTACTGAGCCTGTTCGAAGGGCTGTAGGTAATGACCAAACCAACGCTTTTTCACGGTCCTGCGGAGCGGGCCCAATTCGAGCCTGGGTTTCAAACACGAATCGAACGGGCTCCTTAACGTGCATCAGGACAAGATCACATGCAACCGTTAAATAGACACGCGATTCGCCAGAAGTTACTGTATTAAGTAACTCAAATGGTGGGTTGTCCTTGGGGTCCCATTTGGCAACCACCGTGAAACCGGACGATGGACTGGATTGCTGATTGCTCGAATCATTACTGCCTACAATGTAGGAAAAGCGAATTATGCCAATTATTTGATACAAGTGGCGTTCATAAGAACCACTTTTCTATATATTGCTTAAAATGTGAAACGGGAAGCCAAAATAGCTAAACCAGAAGGTCCCTGGCTAACAATGAGCATAATTAATCTATGTATATACTATAATTAAAATTAGCCACGATTCTTGAATGACCAGTCATTATTCAATGATAATATTCCTCGAATTCAAATACAAAACAATCTTATAGTTTGTCTCTCTATACGTCTGTGTATGGAAGCAAAAGTGTACATACTGATAACTGAAATACACATGCACAACATTTACATTCAGATATAGAAGTGAAACAACTTCAAATATCACGCCACTTGTAGAATTTTGTTATAAATACTGATATGTAGTAGTTTTTATCATCACTGAGCCATCGAAAAAATTACGTATAAACACATGAGGACAGAACACTTTTAAACATTTGCAAATGGTGCGTGCTTGAGAAATAGGATATTTGGGAAAAGGCAGGCCCAACCTACTAAACTGAACGCATCATAAGCAAAGTTTACTGACCAGTTCCAATGAGCTGCATATCACTATGACGTACGTGACGCCCTGGCGAAACGAGCACACCGAAGCAGCGTTCAATATTAATTGGACTCGGGTGAGACATTGGCTCTATTGTAAGTACGATCTGTTTTTCAACGTCTTTTCGAAGTTTGAAGAGTTCTTTTGTTCTCGAACATGCTGCGTAGGCACCCCGTGAGTCCTCTTCACGAATGTCCAGTGTCATCTAAAAGATTATACATACATAAATATACGCGAATGTGCGCACATGGCGAAATAAAACTTTATTACCAAATCTAAGGCACTGATTTCCATTAAACTCGTATAGCTCAACCACAAATTTTATGGAGCCACTAGAAACGCCTTACCTGAACATTAACGATCTGCATACTCCCACAAGGAGCTGCGATAAGCTGTGCCTCGTTCGAATCGTTTTGAATTGATTGGTATGCTTGCTCTATGCGTTTGTGCACTTTAGCCCGAACTTCGGCAGACATTGCATCAAAACAGAACATCTTCAAACAGCTCTCTGCTTAGTCAGAAAAGGCACAGAGCACAAAAATATAATATATATACAATATATAAAAAAAAAAATATATATATATATATAGTTAGAGGTACTCTATAATACTTATATGTGTAATAATATAATAGGCTACAAATATCCAATGCCAAAATGCACGGGTTACTTTATTTAATTTTTTCAATGGAAAGCATTCCCACAAAAAGCCCCTTTGCGAAAACATATGGCTGTTTTCTCTGTTGACCATACACAATAATTCTTACTATATAACTTACGCTCTGTGGCTGCAGGTGCGTACACAAAAGCAAAGCAGCTAGGATGCTCCCGATGGCCACCCGTAAACGAGGTGATTTGTCGCATGGGCAACGAATAAATTTCATCCCCGCTTGCTTTAGCAAACAACCTAAAATTGTAGGAGAATCATAAAGTTACACGAGATATTTTATATTTTCTTCAACAGTCGTGCGCGCAGTGCGTGCACAAAGATATATTATGACTGGTATATCACACTTACACGACTTTACCGTCACCTCGGGTAGGCAGCATCAAAGCAACTCGAACTTGTTTTTCAGGTGGAACGTTCATCGCCCGTGACATCGTTTCGGCCAAAATCTGCTTTGTAGAACGAGAATCCTGGTCTGGCCATTTCCATGTTCCGAGGAAGGTGATTGATTCAAACATAACCCACGGATCAGCTTCGCCTACCGCAGGCTGCATTGCGATTGACCTGAATTAAGTATATAATAACAGCAAACATGTTACTGATTTCGTGAATATAACTCGAGTTAATTCTCTAAATAAATCTTCAGACCGTTTTCTGCTAAAAGGATTCGAAATTCCATTTCTTCTTAAAGAAATAAGATAAGCAGGTACACCAAGTTTAAAAACCGTGAATACTCTCGCCATGCTGCAACATGGTCAGCCTACAAACAATTCCGTTTAAATATTTTCGAAAATGTCATCAGTATATAAATTGAGAAGTCAACTAAAATTCGAACGGCATTATAGTCTTTTAAATTACGACAGTGCTTCTACTTCTATTCAGCAGTCGCTTTTATTTAGTGCTTCTATCTAGTTCTTAATGTCGTAGGAACGAAATTACACCGTTCCGCAAGCACTAAAAAGTCTCTTGACGTCGTATGTGACTACGGATATAAATGACAGCTACCAAATATGTATTGTTTACGAAATTTACGAAAGCTCGGCTAAAAGATCGATTTCCATTAGTTTGACGCCAATCTCGTTCGCAAAGTGGCTGCTCACGCGGTCAGAAGTCTTGCGTCGAAAAATAACATTCGTTAATAGCGATAAACCACATTATAAACCAAGCCTAATTCGAGGTATTAATAATATTCGTTTGTCACTAAGTGTGACTAGTGTAGCACGTTGACACGTTTTGGAGAGGAATGGAATCATGACGTATAGGCCAATCACTCTTACACTGACGACAGTTAGTTTTGGTAGCAAATGGCCATATGTACACACTTTTATTTGATGCACAGGCAACGAGAACATGCGTACTATGTGATGATCTGCAACATTATCTATAATACATGTTTTCATATGTTTAAAAACTTATAGTTGGACCCAATAGAAAGAACAGAATGTGGCTTTTAACTAACACAGTGCCATATAACAATAGCCGTGTTCAGTGCACGTGGTGAATAAAGAGCCATATAAACATTTTGCAGAAAGCTCCCGTATACCAATCGAAGCTTTACTTTAAAACACTAAGACTCTCATAACAAAACGTATCAATCGGCGTTGTTTAAATCCAAGCCGTAAAAAACCACAATAATCGACCTCTAAACGTAAGGCAGATCGAAATAGAAAGGAAACGTATGGTAATAATCGGTTCGTATTCGTGGTAGTCACAGTCTGCCAACACGCGAAGCTGCTCGTCGAGGACTGAAAGCATGGTACTCATTAAGGTACAATGGTCACCGCACTGAGTCGATGCAACAGACGAGTCGCCATGGGAATACATTTATATTTAGAGTTAATTAATAGTTTTCGATCATCGACTAGTAGTAGCTCTAAGCCTATCGTCTACACACATCGCCTAATAGAACAGAGTGTATTTATTTCATGTAAGTGTCTAAAAGTTTCGCTTACAATAACCATGTACAAATCTCTATTCAGATCTGTGTATTATGTATAACAGTGGCATAGAAAGAAACGCTTCAGTCTGTCGTTATAAAAGCAATGCGTGTGTAACGATGGTGCGTTTTGCAATTCTACTTCAGCAACAGCTGTTCATCTTCATACATCTATTTATATTGCGTAATCCACAAAACGCTTTACAGTAGGCCTGCCTGCACTCGCCTAGGTCAGCCACTAGGCACCTAAGGCACAATTATGGAACTTATCTGTTCTTCGGATGGATGTACTAGGTAGCGTCGTATTTGTAGATGTTTTCTATAATCTATGTGTGAGATTTATAACCACTGCCGCCTCCATGGGTCTTCTTGTTTATTCAACCTGGTTTAGCCATAAGTACAAAGAGGTGATAGCTGTATATACATCCTTTGCGAAAATAACTTACTATGTAAATCTCAATACAACTTAACCATTCAATATCACTAGGAAAATAAATAATAATAATAATTTACCATTTAATAAATGCTGTCAGTAGTTCGAATAAAAATTAAATCGCTTACTGCGTTGGCCACAGTTCCGTTAAGCAAGCGTAAGTCAAAACATACCAATTGCAGTGGAATACTCTACCAAGCTAAACATAGACTTCTTTAACCGCAACGTACGAGCCAGTTGAATTCAAACATAATATCTCATCTGAACTACATTACTGTGAATATAATCCGGTCAAAAAAGGAACGTACATATAATGCATTATGGGTCGGGAATACTGTCGAATAAACCGTATCCAAAAGGCTAGAGCGCGCCAAAAATAATTGGCGATTCAAAATAACACGGGTATATAGTTTTCCGCTCAACGACTAACCAAGATGCGGCTTTATTGTCAAGGTCGCAGGTTGCATTGCAAGGGGTGCAGACATGTTTTATTAACGTTGTTGTACCTCATACAGTGTAATAAAAATTTAATTATTTTAACTAGTTTATCCGTTTCGGAAATTGAATAAAAATGAAAATGAATGTTAAATACTACGGCCCATGTATAGTTCTCATGTTATCGTAATCTTATCTGATTTCCGATCTACCAAATTACTTCTTCTTTAATCTTTTGTATGTCAATTTCGTAGCAGCTGCAATTTCATACAATTGTTAAAACGGATATGAAAGCTAATTACACTGTTCCCGAATTATGGCTTTTAAATTTTATTCAAAGCAGTATAGTAGAACAAATCATTATACAATTATTAATAGTATTCAAATACATTTATATTATTTTCTGTCATGTTTTAGAGCTATGGCAGTAGAATTGCGCATGTGGCCATTCAATTTACTAATAGATATAACTAATCTCAATTTTAGCTCCCATATCTTACAACGTAAGAATGTCAAAGAATAAACGCATGGATAAGGTTTACATCATGTTGAGTAAGTCGTGATTATCGAACGAATTTCTCCTGTGACTTTTTTTTGGATATAAAACTGCTCGGATGGCAAACTTTGAAACACATAACAAATGTAAGTAGGTGGTAAATTCATATGATTCCAAATAACCTCGAAATTGGTCTTCACCACCAACGAGTGATGTAAAGTAACGACATCAAACGAAACCTCTGAATCACTTTGTGAGTATATGAAATTGCCTCCAAAATCGACTACGAATAGGCCAGCAATTAACGTTATACCACAAAATGTTCATTCGCTCTGGGTGAAGCCGCCTGCCTCAAACTGCATGATGTAGCATTTGTTGCAACGACACGTTTACATTCACGAACATAGTTATTGAAAATGAATCTATTTACGTGATTTACAAACTGATGAGAAAACACGCCCCTAAAACAAAAGCATTGTAGACCGTTCGCGCCATGGACCTTGCGAGTTAACGCAGGCGCCATTTTGTCTGACGTAATCTACGATAGATTATTATTATTATTGAAATCGATTGAACTATTCTCAAGGACTATGTTATAAAATCAGCAAAAAAAAAGCAGCATCCGAATTCAAATGCTTCAGCCACTTTAAGCCAGTACCCGTTTTGACTATTCTGCCTAACTTACCGAGACCAAGCCATTTTTACCTGTAGATTTATACGGTATTTTTACTATCATCTAAATTTTACTTTCAGAACAGCTTATTTTCAGTTTTATCACACCTCTGTATTCAATTATATTAGATTCCACGAACACTACCTACACAACTTTCCACAGAGGTGGCGCTTTTCGTTCTTCCTTTTTTACAAGTTTTGTTTGAAACTAATAGCATTCTATCCATTAGATCGGTATATGCACAGCTTGAACGGTCCTACCAAATTAGAGTTATATAGCTCTCACTTCACGATTACCCCTAATTTAACATCTCTATTGCGGCTTTTATCTATCTTCAGCTTTTATTTTATAGCCAGCTATGCATGATGAATTATAGAGAAGCCGCAGATTTATGCTGTAATAACATTCAGCGTCTATACAAGACTTATTGACACGTATGTAATTGATAGCTCTATTCGATAGCCATGTCATTCCGAGTACACGCCAGCTACTTACCCAGTACCTCGTCATTCTGCGAGTGCAGGAATTATAAATTAATCGCTAGATCATAATCGGTCCGCCATCTTAGACGCTATTTCTAAAGAAGCGCCTATTATAGCGTATAAATCCCTAATACCACTATCTCCGGCCGAGTCTCGTTTTCGGTATATAGCTTCTGACTGCCTGTAGATTAACGATGTTGCTGGACAATTTACAGTTTACATGGAGTACGGGTCAACATTGAGGGAGCAACCGGTATACCATTTATGAGCGTGTGTGTCCTCCCATAGAATGTTTGATAGCATGCTAACTTGCCATGGCAAAGTCCTGCTATTTGTTCTTTCTCGAACAGTACCCGAATGCTATTTATATACAGAGCAGAGAGAGAGGATGATGTCTTCAAGTGATCTTTCCTTCTTTTTTTGAGCAAGTCTCCCCCTCTCTGTTGCCTAACTCCCCTCATACTCTTAGACGACTTACAAAAAAAGCAAAAATATCTTACACAGGTAAAGCTCGAACAACAAAATATACTAACTAAAATCAGAGTATGGGAAGTTATATATAAAAAGGTAACTTACGTATACATACTACTATAATATATATGTATAGCCGCATGTAAGACGCGAACGGTTCTGTTCTGTCTATGGACATGCCAACAGCAAAAACAGAGCGAAACGCATGTCTTTGTTACACAATCCTAAAGCCAATTTTATAACGGAAAAGAACACTAATAACATTAGAGACACAAGGTTCGCACATTGATGCAAAGGAAATGTGCCCTTGAATTCTAGGCTGTTTGCCGATATGATATCACACCATAGGTATAATGCACCTATAAATGTATTCCTATTTATAATCTACAAGAGATACATATATATGCATATAAGCCATTTATCGACTACCCCACCTGGCAGCGAAAGTACGCCACAGAGATATTCCTTTCCACTTCCACGAGAGATACTCAAATACGGTACATACACAAACATTCACTTTGCTCACGACAAAAGGCACAAAACCGAACTCGAAGCAATGCACATTTCAGCAGCATTGCAAATGAAACCCGATTTTCCCCTCTCTACTATAGCCGCTCTCGGCATCGCTGTCTAGCAACAAGCTCCAACCGAAACGCGGGACAGTTGTCACATAGCACCATCGACAATAGAACCATTCTTGATCTCTGTATGCAGACAACGAAAAGCCACGGGAATACAGCACAGAAAAGACACTTCGCCCCTTTGACAAGAAGATCGAGCTAGCTCGGACGGACGATCCGTTGGAGTCCTTGGGCAAATCTAACCCGTCCAAAATTACCCCGCCCACCGGTACTAACAATGGCATAGGAGTAACTCACGGTAAGTGCGCGTCGTCGTCTATCGAATCTCGCCTGCCCTGTTGGAGTCCAACATTGCTCTCCATACGCTCAGCTGATTCCGCAGCAGCAGCCGCACTGGCAGCCACAGCAGAGGCATCGACCACTACACAGCATGCGTCCATCCGACACCTCAACAGCGGGGATATCAATGCGGATAGACAAGACAGCGGCAGTAGTAAGCTCGTACATATGAGTGCTGAATATTAGGAACAGTGCAGCACCATGTGTGACTCACTCACGATACGCTCATTATAGGCTAGCTACTGACAGCTGCCTGAGCGGCTCTGGTAGGCGACAGCAGTGGCAGGAGACAAGGGGCAAAAAGCGCGCAAATATTTAAACGTTTACCGTGCCGGGCATACCACATAGATAGACTATCACAGATAATATAATAGAAGATAATGATATGATATATATGTTTTTAGGTAGGTGAGTGATTACTAAAAGCTAATAAGGGTATCTGTATTCAATATAACAGTAACAATTGTTCAGTATGAACGCGCGTCGTCTTTTTATACAAATCCATCATGTATGTGTGGTCAATTTTCAAGTGGAGTTCATTAGCCAAAATGTCGCTCGTGACGTGTTAATGAGGATTGTCAAGAAACAAATGGAAGTACTGTAGATAACGTAGTTTATAAAATCTAAAACAGAAAACCTGCTAATTAAAACTTGCGTGCAAATTTTAGAACCGAAGAAAAAATTAGACTGTCAGTACTTTATGCTCCTTGCGCTTAGTAAACGATGTTTTAACTAAAAACAATATTAGGGCGTTACATTTTGATACGATGATTGATTATCTCACTCCTGTTCAATTCAGTCTTATCACAATCTATTAACCAATAACAGCGTTCTAGTTATCGTTCAGCCATATTTAAAAATTTCATTATATAATTTAAAACTTAAAAAATAACGCCATGTTTTTAAGTTGCTAAAAACAGTAGTTATATCAATATAATGTGTCACTGAGGTTTGCCAAATTAAATGATGTCCTCAAATAATGAAGAATTAGTATTACCTAGGATTAGAATACCTGTAACGACAATTTTGAATACATTTTTTAATTAAAAAAATCGAGTTAAAGTTTTCAGTCGCGTACGTCCAGTTTTTAAAATATGTTTATCGTGTTGCTATGTAGGCATCGAATAAATTAGCTACTTACATTTTCTATTAGATTTACATTTGTAAAAACCTTTTGACGACCAGTTACGTTTGAGAAAAATATGACATGAATTTCAAATAATAATAGAATTCTGTTGATATATCTCTTTGACAACTTTTTGAATGAACAGCTATGATTCAAAACATTAGTTATAGCCGTTTACGCCTATTTTCAACAAAGATATCCAAATTATGTTTCTCACTCTCTGTAAATTTTATAGGTAAAAGATCTCGCTAGTGACATATATTACACAATAAGTGTAATTACATAAAGGAACATCTGTAAATAACAGAGGACTTTAAAGTATTATTGTTACAAAACCTTATAGATGTACCTGTGTATCCTGGTCCTTGACAGCTAGAACAACTGCTGGACTTTGTCATGAACAATCAACAGCGTTAAACACTCCGCGGCGGATCCGATAAAGAGTTGCACAGGGAATAAAACAAACATACTAACTATAAGGCATTATTATATTGTTCATTGAAGTCAGCTAACCCGCAATAGAATGCTAGTGATCTGCAAGCTTCGTAAACATCCTCAAGCTTTTTGGAACAAATGTTTCACTAAAAATATCCCTCTCTCATGGAAAGGAACAAAGTTTCAGTTTAAGCACGGGTAAGGTAAGGCCCTTATAGGGGGGCAGTAACACGCTGCAGGTCTAAGTCGAATTCTAGTGATATACATAATATTATCGAAATCATCGTTAAAAAACAGACTCAGTCGTCGTTAATCCAATCTATCATTTCCAGCGATGTTATTCGGCGCATAATAGAATAGCTTCAACATATATGCGCTTTGACATTTAATTGAAATGAGTTATAAATTAAACCTATTTGCAAAAATAAAAATATAATATTGTAATTGTGTTTTCTTTATATATGTTATTTATGTAAAAATCGAAACGTTTAAACATGTACAACTGTTAACGCTATTTTTTAAAAACATATATTCGAAAAACAGACCACTTGACATCTTGTCGACGATCTCGTTCGTCGAAGCCGTCCAGAAAATACCTACAATCAAAAATGTGATGCGGATAACCCAAAAAGAATCTGGAATATTTTAAATTTTATCGAAAGCTTAACATCAACAAATACATACTGAAAAGTTTAATACCCACTTTTCGAATACCATAGATTTTTTTTAATTTAAATAGCTGTAGATTGTAGATTAGCGACCGTTCGTACGTGTTGACTGCCACCCTATTATCTTCAACCGAAGCTGTGTGCTAGCCACTGAGTTTGTAACGCGCGCTCATAATATCGAACTTTGTAATTATAGCGATTGTTTGTATGAAGCGGTCAATTTTGTCTTTTGTAAATACAATTCCTGGTTAACTAGTAATTGCACTTTGAAAATTAACATGATAATTTGATAGTGATGCTACAGTATTACCATAGCTATACGAATATTGAGCGTCGAATACGCATTCATAACAAACACTACTAAGTCTTTGTGTGTCGTGAGGATTTTTTGTCATGTAGGATACTTGGTTTGCCTTAAAGAGATTTTTGCTTTAATATTCCCCTTGTAAACGTTTTTCCACTTGTGCTTAGTGTAGTAGTCATTTATTCTAGCCAGGTCGAAATGCTTTTTTTTACTAAACGCTTCGGTGAAAAAAACGGTTTGTTAATAATTATTTAATTAGAAAAGTCCTTGCTGATTGGTGTTATTCGTCTCTGAAGCTACAAGAAAAGTAGTTTTTTTTTTACCTATTACATGTTGATTCACTATAAGTATTTTTCCAGGGAGTTCTAATGGAAATGTATTGGACCGAGAGGTCCCTTAAAATATACCTGATTTATGTTTACGTAATAATGAATACATATTAGTAATTTCGTAGATTTACTCGAAGTTGTTGCACCTATTCGGTTTTAATTTGTGTGTAATTGGATTTTATTCTAAATTAAAAAAATTAATTAAATTTATTCGAATATTGATTTTATTCGAATCCTTTTTAATTTATCTTTTTGGCGAGAATATACGTAACTGTCTGGCTTCCTCCTAGTTGGTCTTGTAATTAACAGCCACTAAAGTGTTATTGTTCGGAGGTTGATTATTTAATATTATGTTCTATTGAGATGATATTTAAATATTAGAAACGTGTGGTAGCATAATTCAGGGTTAATTTTTTTTGCGTAACAAAAGTTCGCGTTTCCGCTTACAGCAAGACAAAGTTTTTATGCATGAAAAACCATTTGAAAGATCACCGTAGTTGCATATTCAATCGTATGGAAAAGCGTGTGGGATAAAGATATTCACAAGTAAAAGTTGAAATCGAACGATGGCGGAGACAAACATCTAAGGCAACTGCAGGAATGGGTGATCAAGATAAGGGCAAAAAAGGCAAAAGTAGAAATTACACAGGCAAGTCATTACAGAGTTCCCTGTGTTGCAATAGAAATAGTCAAACATATAAGGTGATACTTTCAAGATAGAAAAAAGTTGCGGGCTGTTTGTCATAAGGGGCTTGAGTTTATTCGTGATTCCTGCCAGCAGAGAAAAGCCAGCAGTATCAAACTCGTCATTGTAAACAGCAACACACTGTTTTTGGAATCTGAATAGAAATTAACTACTATACAACTCTTCCTCGATAGACATACTCCTACCGAAATTATAGACAGCCTTTTATGCCTAAAATTGACGGTTCATCTTGTTGCCAGTTTTCATGCAGCTACTTAAAAATCCAAGCAGACTTTTGAAGATGGAGATCCTCAACCGTATTTAGATTTGAAATTAGGCTTGAAAATTCATCAAACTGGCTCAGAGAGCCACTTTTAATATACGTAGGTTGCTGATATAGAAATGAAAGATCGTTTTAGAGAGGACAATATCAGTTGTATGTCCAACTAAGCCTTAATGGTTAATCTTTTTGACTCTTTGGACACTTTTAGCACTTTTGGCCTACTATCAACCCAAAATTTAATGTCGCTGGGATTTTTCGTATGGAGCGTATTGGAATAGTACTTCTACAAGTTCGCATCTACCAATATCGTTTGACGCACACTTTTATGCTAACTTGCGGATTAAAGAAGGGATATTTTTAAAATGACCAGTTAGTGGTTTAGGCCCCGAATTAAAACGGTAATACTATATAAATAGGGGCTTCAAAGATAACATTTCTATAACGTGCGACATATTTTGTTAAAATACTTATTTTAATTTAGGTACAATGATGGGAATAATGCAGAGGAAAATTATGAACTTAGACGCCCAAGTCTAAAAAAAAAAGACACTTCATTACTATTTTAAGGCAAAGACTCATACTTCAAGTAACTCAAGATGTCTGTTACGGTGTTAAACAAGATCAACGTTTCTGTTCTAAGTATGAGCGTAATGTGGCAATAATAAATAGCTAAATATTCCCGCCTCTGTGTCTTACTCGAATACAGATCGACTGGGCTAAATTCTTATTTGTGGACAGTTTTATGAGAATGCTTTTAACCATGCTGATTTGGAGCTGAGGAATCGTAAAGGTAAGGACGCACATCTAGTGATTAATAGATCGGTTTAAGTTTCGGAAAAGTTGTCATAAGCATTTCATAGAAATCTTCAGCACTCACAGTTTATTTTCACTCACGGCCATAGGTGCGTGGGCTAAATCATACTAAATATCTAAATAAAAAATAAAGTAGTCACTTGAATAACACATAATTTGTACCATTGCCAAAACTGTATGCAGATCGCTACGCCGCCCGCTATTGAATTGAAAACGCGAGGACCCGCCGTAATGTCTAAGGTGCGACGTAATAAATATAGACTTTATGCTTGCATCCTTTCCCTAAGGCGATAGTGAAAGCTGTAGCATGTATTTCATGTAACATCCAATACCGTCATAAGCAGTGGACTTCTGAGCAACCGCTTTTGTAAAAGACCTAAACGAACCTCGTCCTCCTATTCAAATCTGGCATAGAAAAGCATCCTCTGTCGGTTCTGTACAATAGTGTCTTGTTTGTTCCGGTGACTTTATTCAATTCAAGCAAACAGTTGGATCAAGCAGATGGATAACCTTTTATTTTTATTGACAATTTATGTTTTATTAAGATATAGTAGAAATAATCTATGAAACCGGTGTAGGTAGGTCAATTCTCCTTCTAAGGACGTGTTTCCTGCGAGATCAACATGGCGTTTCAAGTTTACTTTAAATATCTCCTCACATTCAGACAGACCAATTTTGCGAAAATAGTCAATGCAGTCAAACGTAAGTGGAAAAAAATAATAATCGAAATAATTGGGTTCTAAATCTAACTTTATAAAAAGTTAATATACATTGACAATTGAAATTAAGAAACAGGTTAAAACGCATTTATCGCCCTAATATCTCTTTTTCGTTCTCAAATCCAATCACCTTCTGTTGCGTTGTAATGTAACACCTAACAGCTTGTCAGATATGAGCCGCATTAATTACGTTGCCCCAATCGCTGGTTAATAGGGCAAATTTTACGAGATAACGTCGTCTGCTAATTAAAGTCAGGCTTCATATAAGTCGAGAACCAAAGCAATGTAAATGTGTCATGCTTTTGAAAATTATTATAAGGTCTCACTCTAATAGTCCAACAAATGTTCATCGTGACCAAATATTATACGGAAAGGTCTTTTTCGCGTTACGGCAATCAACATAACTGTAAGAATGGAGTACAAATTGGCAAAACTTGAAAATAGTATTTCTTTGTATTGCATTAAAAATGGCATTTTCTTTACAGACCTATATTTATTCGCCATGTAATGGTAACAAACAGTGCATGAAAGTTTTTTTGCAAGTGCAGAAACATGAGCCTGTAGTTTAGTACAACGTACAAAGAATTGTTTTGATGACTTTTAACGGCGCGTAAAGGAGCACATGATGTCGGGAGCAAATAGGTCCAACATGTCACCTTGACTCCTGCTAACGCCCACTTTAAGGTTCCCTATAGATAGTGATATTATTTTGTGCTTATACTAAGCGTTAATAGCTACAGATGAAACACACCCAATATTTTATCTGTCGGTGCCGTTCTGACATGGAGAAATGAACCTCTTTTGCTAGTGTTTCACTTTATTTAGAACAACCGGGGGCGCGAAACCAGCTTGGTACGTATTGTAAACTGAACGCATGCAGAGTAGATCTGCACTTAGGGAGACGTGTGGTTTGTGCCTTCTTCCTCCACCACGACCATAGAACAAGTGTGTTTACGTTAAATCTCGGATAGTTGTCTCAAGTCCGGTATATCCAAGTTATTCTCATGGGGTGCATTTAGATAGAGGACGAATCTCAGAATTATTAAGGTCAAGGTCAAGCCAAAGAAGGCGTTGACGCCTTCTATTTAACTACAAAAGTGTTACGCAAGATCCAAAAGAGTAAGAAAATTTTTGCACAATTATTATTAATTAATTAAGTACCTTATCACTGAAGATACAGTACCTTAGGTAGGTAATTCCCAGTAAACATATAACTTATAAATTTGGTCTAAATGTATTCTGTAGACATGCATTCCAGAGCCTCTAACATGTATGTTTATGTTTTTCCTGCACAAATGGCAGAAAGGCGTTCCTTCCTTTTAAACCCCCTATATCTTGACCCGATGGATACTCCAATGCCAGATGAAGTCCTGCCTTTCGCAGTGAAAGGCTGGTTTGCACTAAAATGTTCAAGAGCCCTTGTTCAATGTACCCTTGTTCAGAAGGTCAGCAGAACTACGGTAATGAACATAAAAACCGAGTAAACGGAGAATAATAGTGATGAGCCAGTGTAAGCGATTAAAGTATAGGTTGTTCCTTTGCTTGACGCAATTGTACTTATTGATGGAACGTCATTGGCTACTCAATACGCTAAGTACGCTAATGTGTTCCCAGCTAGAATTTGCCCCATATATGTGATATAAGATTATGGGGACCAGTTAAGGGTGAGATCAAAGAAAAACCCTAAAGAGAACCCTGTTGCATTATTTAGTGGGCCTCTTATTTAGAAACCTTAGCTACGCAAATGGGTTATTATAAGATTATTTTGCAGTTAAATCATTCAAATCTTAACGAATTGTATTGTCTCCCTGTCTATTGCCTTATACATATAATCTTTGCTCATTCTCGTATGCTTTTTCTGCTCCTATTTGCCTAAATAAGCTACTTCGTTACAACAGTAGACGAAACTGCTCCTACAGAGACAGTCGAATGTACCTCATACGTGTTTTTACGTACTATATTACTACATATCTTTTCGGTACAGTACTTCGTTACAAAAATCCTATACCGTGAGTAGGACTGCCTTAACCACGCCAAATTGACGTGTTTGTTATCCCTCCATACTTAATACACACTAAAGTCCCTCAATTTGAATCTGTCTATGAAATGCTGTTCAGTGTGGTCTAAGAAGTCCAAAAGATGTATTTTGCACACTATTTGCACTAGATAAAAATCTCTGTATGTGCAACCATTGCCTTTTTATTGTGAAGTTCTAGGGTCTACGGACCCTTAGAGAACTGCCTATATGACTCGCAAACCATGTTTGGAACAAAAAAAGGTGCCTGCCAGTTATCCATATCCTGTAATTCTAAATAGGAAGCTGGGGAACACACGAAAAATAGAGAAGGCCGTATTTACGGAGGTACAACAGACAAATTTTTGCTTATGGTATGTGTTTGTACCCTTTGCTTATACTTTATGTACATAGTTTCTATATGTATACAGTTTCTACCATTTCTCAGTTTTAAAGGCAAACCGACGTACCACACTGAGTTTATTTACGAGATCTTTATATTGTAGATTTTCAACAAACGGTTCAGTTACAATACTCACGTTCAAAAGAAACTGCTTTGGGCCATTTTTCTGAACAAATGCTTTCCTAATGGATCATATAAAGCTTTTCCGAAGCCAAAATACAATTAGGATTTTATTCTTGTCATGCTTCTCGCGGAATCTAACCATGTATTTAAATAACTTATATGTATTGTGTTCATTCACATAGCAGAAGTTCTACGTCTTGAACTAGGGTTGAAGCCGCTTCTTTGAACTTTATGCTCTATACAACCTTGTTGGCTATTAATGAATTCATTAATTTTTAAATCGACATCGATGAAAGAAGACTTGCCTGACTCGAAAATAGCTATAAGCATGTCTTGGTTAAATCAAATACATACGCTAAGGGCGAAAGGTTAATACATCCAGTTATAGCATCATCATCTTATTTACCTACGGAATATCCTAATTTAATATATAATATACGCGCTGTAAACAAAAATAGCTGCAAAAATTGTACCTAGCAAAACACTATCCTTGGTACGATCAAAGAAGTTAAGCAAGCAGTGAAAGAAAAACCGGTCAAGAATATTGCCTCACTTTCTTGTGCTCCTTCCTGTAAGACTAAGGTTGTTGTTTAAATGATCACACTAGACTCTTGCTACCCACATTCTCGTATCAACACGAGATCACGTGTTTTGATTTTATTGTCTAAAGTATTTTTTCGTGTTTTTTTTAAGTATTTTATTCCATTTTAGGACCTTATTCATTTTAATGTTATACGACGCTGGCTGGTCGTTGGTTCGTTATGCTTTCCTTTCTCTACAGACATATGCTCCATATCGTTCGTTCACGAGGGTCACATTCACCTCATGTTTTTTTTTATTGTTATTATTATTATTATCATCATCATCCTTATTATCATTCTCCTTAGCGATTTACTTCACCAGCTTATTTATTCATCGACCTTACATATCATCTACCTGTCCCAAATATCTAATTTCCGTGACAAATCATATGTACAATTCCTTGATGTTATGTATTTTGTTGTTGTTATTAATATTACCGTTATTATCGTCACTGAAAACACCGCGGGGGAACGTTGCACCCGTAGCCTATCTACATTGCTGATGACATCCGTGCACCATTTCTTTTCGAAAACTTAGAATTCGCAATTTTGTCCCACTGCTGTAAAAACACTTTTTCAGTTCATGTACAGTCTCGTTGACGTTCAAAGTTGTAAACATCGTCTTTGGTACAAAGCCAATTTCCTGTTTCAATCTACGAGCCTATTTACCTGTATCCCAGTATTACGTATCGGCATACACTACACGACATTTGTAGTTAGATTAGAATTGCTGTTGTATGTGTCTGGTCACTTGAGTTGCTTCTCATAATAGTCCAACAATGTTGTTACTGGCGTAGTCCTATGCTTTACCCACATGCCTATTAATATCTGCAAAAGATTATTTATTAACTTTCTATAAAACGAGACGAACTGCGAACCCCATTTGCTCTCACTCGATAGCTTAAACCACACAGAGGAAGCCCTATGACTTAATATAGCTCATAGACCCCCTTGTCAAAGGACGCGGACCAATAAATCAACCCAGCGGTTCAGCTAACTCGTCTAAACAGTACTGTTATAATTTTTACCACTCGTGATTCTAAAATGGAAGTGAACCAAAAATTATTTTTAGGCTATTGCTTTTCATTTACGTAATAAACAAATTTTATAATTGGCTATTGGACGTTACCTTACACACACGGGGTAACCAAAAATGAATTGACTTATGGTAAACTAGTACAGCCACGTCCTCGACATATTACCACTCCTTTGTAAGTCTCACTTCAGCCTAAAAACGCTAAACTTGATTTAGTGTTCGGTATATCGGTAAACCTGGATAGTCTTTGTTCAGCTGGGTCTTTACACCTGGGCTGCAAACGGGTAATTGTGTTCTGGTAGGCAGTTTGTTTTTGTTAGCTAGGTATTTTACAAGACCAATTTCGTCCGGAGGTTCATTCAACTACTTCAGACCAGTCAATTTCATTAAAGAAGTCCAACTGCACGATTGGTTGAGCGATCGGTCTTGTAGGACGAGTTTCTGGTTAGTTCGATTCCACATCCTGCGCTACCTTGCAAGCTTTAGATGATAACAGGCTCGTCGAGACTAGACGAAGTTAAGGCTGAATTATTATAAAAAGCAAGTTTCCCGTTAGCTTGCTTCCAGCTGGTGTCCTTCTGAAGAAACGTGGGTGACCGGCCACACACTTCTCAAATACTGTTATAGCTGGCTTTTCATGGGGTGAACAGACACCTGGCAGGATTCAGTAACCCGCGTTGTAGTGGTTTAGATTGACGCCTGCTTATCTCGGGAGAACGAACCCTACCGCCTCAGTGCTCACACAACGTTTGTTCTTGCCATTGGCCTTATCATGTTGCCATATTTGCAGTTGATGACGTTTTTGTAATTAATAATAAATAGTGTAGCAATCCGTATCATCCTCATTCTATTTACAGGTGAGTGAGCGCCCGAGGGCTTCGGTTGCAGTACACCCAAGAGCTGACTAAGCTTGGCTTGACCGGGCTGACTACATATCTATATCCTACAGCTCAAGAGAATAGAATGTCGCAGTGGCCAATCGAATTCGATTTCTAGAAGTTGTTCATTAGGAGCAAATAGCGATTGGTAGTTCGTTGCATACTATTTGAAGAGGTTTCTACTTCTTATTCTTCTTCACGTCAGTAGCTTTTGCTGCATTCCGGAGTGTACATCCTTCAAGGACGAGCCTTATGCAAAACCACCCCAGACGATCTTGGTCGTTTCCCGTCGTCCGCGAGCAAGTGGTACATACCACAGACAACAGGCGCATTTTGTTATTATAATCGTCAGCATCACCAAAAGTTATTACCATTATTCATTTTCATCCAACATCTCATCAATCGTTTCATTGTTATCTCATCATCATTTGTTTAGCTGGCAGGCGTTTTCTTTATCCTTTATATCCCTATTCATCGTTGAATCAAATACTCTCCACCAACTCCCACCGCCAGTTGAAAGGGTAGCACATTGCACGTTTGGGTGAGCATCCTTTGTCATGCTTCAATAATTAAATTTCATGCTTCAATAATTAAATTATGTCACAAACATTTCATCGATCGATTATCCGCCATTTATACAATACATGATTAATACTCCATCTAACACATCGCAGTGCTTAACAGTCCGGTCATTTCTTTTTCTCCAATTGAAAGATTTCTCTTATGTTCCTTTGTTAAGACCCATCACTTATACAATTATTTCCATAATATTTCGTATCATCCTCCGCTCATATCATATTTTGGTGGCACTATTCCCCTCTATTTCAACCTCCATCGTGTTCACGTATTGCCTTAACTTATGTCTTTTGCCAGCATTACCTTGGCAATGTCAAAGGCACCGATCATGTTCCTACTCAACATTGAGTTCGCGCCCTGAAACATCATTGACTCAAGGCTACGTACCACCTCATCTAGCTTAATTATATAGCCTTCAATCGCTTCTTGTGTTCTTGACCGGTTATTTTACATGTCAGCTAATAGCAGCAACCTGAAGTTCACATGAAGATTTTTGAGAGGCGGACCGCTAACCACTGCTAAGCCAGTTGCCTCTGACTTTATCTAGTTTCTTTTTTACAGTCGACAATCGTAATTTAATGTTAAGTATATGATTAAATAACTAGGTAAGCCTCGAACCGAAAACAGAGGAGGCGATGCAATTATAACAACACCTCTCAGATAATAACACCAGACAGAACCTTTTTCTCTCCCTTTCTCTCGCTCATCAATCGAAAAAATTGCAATAATAACTATTCAGCCAAAACTCTCATCAATCATTGCTGCTGTAGTAACACACTCATCTACGAACGATGGGAGGGACTTCAGTCGAGTTAGGCAACCTGTGGGGTAAAGAGTGTATGCTCTTTTTCATACGTTCGCGCGTGAGATGGACGCTTAGTTTCTACGTGCCAGCTGGTTCGTGTGTATTTTTTCTTTCTGAGAAATTAATGAATGAGCAAAATAAATGAGTTTTTCTGTTCTTCGTCCTTTGATGCTCTATCTCCTAGAGAGATTATTATTATTAATATTGTTATTATTCTGTTTATGGTCCCCTCAACTAACTCGGATTATCTTAGTTGTCTTCTGCTTTTTGTTTATTTTTCAGCTATTCCACAGTCCACTATTCGTGTGCGGCTGTGTTGTTGCACGCAAGGATTATTCGCCTTGCAGCCCGCTTCCTGATGCGACGTCTACGAACGTCCGTTGAATAAGTCATCCCTGTGAATGATAGAGAACTTCGACATTTTCTGGCCAATCATCTTCCTTAGTGAGGCAAGCATCGTAGTAGTTGCACGTTTGCTCCTGTTTTTCAATGTGTTCTTATTTTTCCTTTCTATTATCCACAGAGTTAAGATCTCTAGGTCCTATTTCTCTAGTATGAAAGGATCCGCTAATCAGTACTTTGTTTCTTGCTCCAGAGAGAATCTACCCAGATCTCATTCACTATACAGAGTGCACGACCAGTTATGATTTACTAGTCACTGCAACTGATAGCAGTGATTTAGTGTCGGTTGCAGCGGCATAGGTAAAGCGTGCGGCAAGGTATCATATCGCAGTTGTATGTTGGCAGCTAGCAGCTCCTGCTTCCAATTAGCGCTTCTAGTATGCGCTTCGAGATCTTGTGGCAGAAAAATGCTTGTGGATACTAGTAGCAGCGACAGCGCAAAGAAATGAACACGATCATTTGACGAAGAAGCAAAACATCGGGAAAATGTCACAGGGGGTTTTGTTACGCTCCTCTGACCCTTATGTGACACAGAACGAGACAGAGAGAAGGGCAACGGGCCAAATACAGTAGCCCCGATCTCCTTAATACCAGCTTCTCTCACTCTCACCTAACAAGTCTCGCCTTATCGTCTAATCTCTGATCACATCTCAGTTTTTATGCATCTGATTTATCTAAATGGCTTTCCTTTGTTTTGTCTAGTCTTTCGCTGTTAGCTGGCGGTCCTCGGCGTCGCTCTTACTGAAGAAGGGATGCGTCAGAGCCTCCTGTGGTGTGATACGCGTGGCAGGGTCATAATCCAACATAGCTAGGACAAGATCCCGGAACTTGAGATAGTCCTGCACGCGATGTCCCGGCTCACCTAGTCGCCTTCCCCCGGGTCCACCCGTCTCCACGCCCATAATGTCGTGTAGCCGTCGCTCGCCTGGCGCTTGGTACAGCTTGCCCGAGGGGCACTTCTTGAGGAAGTACGACCCGTCCGCCAGCTTCTCAAAGTATTTCGTCGTCTTGCGGGCTTGATCTAAAAGCGGCTTGGGCGGCATGCCGAGCACTTCGCAGATCTTGTTCATTTGGTCCACCTCGTTCGACCCGGAGAAGAGCGGCTCCCCTGTATGCATCTCGACTAATATACAGCCCAGCGACCACATGTCAATTGCCAAACCGTACGGGATGCCCAGAAGCACTTCGGGCGATCGATAAAATCGGGATTGGATGTACTGGTACACACGCTGTCCTACCTGGCAGCTGCTGCCAAAGTCCACAATTTTAATCGCGGATCGCTTGGGATTGCATAGAAGGATGTTCTCAGGCTTCAGATCGCAATGAATAATCTGTACCTGTGGCGATGACAAGAAACATAGAGCGGTGCACATTTGCTGCGCAAACTTGCGCGTAAGGTTAAGCGATACGCCACGAAAGTTCGTATTCCGGAGCAGATCATAGAGGTTATACGAGAGCAGCTCGAATACGAGGCACAGGTGGTTCTTCCATTTGAAATGGCCTAGTAGACGGACAACCTTTTCGGCGCCGGGAGAACAGAAATCATTCATCATGTCCAGTAAACGGATCTCGATCTGTGCCTGGTTGTAAAAGGCTTTTTTATTCTTTATTATCTTGATAGCGACGTATTTCTTTTCCTCGTTATCGTAGGCTTTAACTACCTGGCCGAATGAGCCTTTGCCAATAAGACAGTCGATGGTGTAGCGCCCAACGAATACCTGCCCTTTGGACACGATATAGTCGTCATTCTCGTCATCAAACCCGCTGGCGTCCTCTTTGGCGTCGGCCTCCATCTGCACGGCCTGCTGTTGTTGAGCGGCTCGCCTTTGTTTCTTTTTGGTGTAGTATACCTCATTGATATGTTTATACGTCTTGATTAGATCAACACTTAACCGTCGCAACGGTGCCTTCGAATGATCGCGGAACACAGGCTTCTTATGTGCAGCCAGCCCAAGGAAATCCGGGCCCATTGCCATCAGAGAACCCTGCGAAAGCGCCAAACCCTCTGAGGGCACCATCGAGTACTTGCCTAACAAATCGTGTCCGCTCATACCACCCGTCGGCTTATAATGCTGCGCGTTCGGTTTTGGGATGATCAGGGCTGGATTGAGGTCGGATGACAGATCCATCCCCACTGACGAAATCAGACTGTACTCCATGTTCGACTGATGGGTGCTTGCTTAGCGTAAACGATTTTATCTTAATTATATCACGCTGAATGAATCAAGTGAAAACGATTTCACACATCACACGTTGCTTATGGTACTTCGAACACTCAAGGATTACCGACCAAGAGATCCACTCGCACATGCACTATCACCACTGTATCGAACACCAGCATGGAAGCAGCACGAAAACACGAACTATTGCCAATCACGGATACCAGCCAGCGACAGCAGCCGTAGCAGTGGCAGCAGTCGCAGTACAGGCCGCTGCCGCCACTCTCAGCTGCTGCTTTTCAACGAACCAAACCAGCTCACACTCCAACAGGGTTCGGCCTTTTGGCCGGTGGCTTTATTCCCGCATATCGGTTGGCTGGGAGCCCCGGTTGGGCCAGACGCCGCCGTCGCCGTCAGCTCTGTCCACACGAGTACGACAGGACAGAAGCAAATAGCCCCCCACACTCGTAAACCGTTCCTGTTCGTCCTCTCACTACGGGCTAATTCTAGCACAAAGGACGAACCATAGACCACGAGCCACTGATGCACCAACCAATCGGCTAACTGGGAAATCACCAAACAAAACCAAAGCTTACACACCAAGATCCTTAAACTGGGCCACGAGCTTGACCTGCAATGCTATAGCACACCACCATCCCCGTTTCTACTTCGTGTAGCACGGTAGCTAGCAGTGCGTTTGGCAGAGCTGCCTGCTTCTCGTCCTGCTGCTGTTGCTACTGTCGTTGTCTCCGTTAATGATACAGATTTTGCCGCAGTTTAACTGCACTACGAAGAGTCGCCTCAGAAGCGCTCGCCTCCTAACTCCTAGCGTCTGTCCCGCGGGGCAGCGTTGCTGCTGACGGCCGACTCGGGCCCTCCTGCTCGGGGCCTTTTCGGCGGGCGAACCTTCAGCGAAAGCGATGCCAGGGGAGCTGGGGCTCGCCGAATTGGAACAACCAACCTGGCTGGCCGTAGCCTCAGTGCTCTCCTCCGTCCACTACTGCCACTCATTCAATAGCAGCCCAGGCACAGCTGCACCCGGAAGCCCCTCACAGCTAGCCCGGGGTCCGCAGTTAGAAGCGACCTAGACAGTGACACAGAACAACAACAACAACAGCCCATATACAAGCACGGAGCAGGCAGGCAGACGGTCAGCAGAATCCTTTTTTCATCAGAAAAAGATTTTTTATCGCTCTTTTCCAGCAATCGCAGCATCATCGTAGTATAGCCTCGTTATCTATTACCTCATGATAACAATGACTTTACAGAGTAATAGGTGTAAGACGTTCAACGACGACAATCACAACAACAAAAATTGACAATTCCGCGTTTCGAGCGATTTGTTGATTGTATTATTGCTGTTGCTGATAGTGATACTAAAGTACAACAGCAGCGGAATCGCAGTCCTGCCAATCCCTCTTTCCCCTCCTTCGACAGACCCGTTATAGGTATCATTGCGCCACACTTAAACTTACGAAAAAATGAGCTATTTTGCAACAACCATGTTTGCGAAAACGCTCGGTTATTCCGTCGCGAGCACACAGCTGTAATGTTCGTAATATGTCTGCACCTAACTAGGAATCAGGATTGGATCTAGATCTTTGATCGCCGCTAAGCCGCTTTTCAGGCGACATTGAACTGCACTCAGTGGCCCATGAGTACCCGGAAGTAGCTATGTCGATTTTTCAATAAATAAAAATAATAAATGGTTTCATCGTGTAATCCTTTTCGCATAAAATCTTATACACAATCATTCCATCCTTGAAAATGCTTGACAATGATAAGTCTATGCGGAGAATATGACAAGCCATTCAAATATGTTTTACTCAACGACAGAACGGCGCTAGATTCGTCTGCGCCTCGCAAGCACAACGAGGCTGGCACAGTTTGAGAGAGGGAGCATATTTTGCGGCGAGCTCTTGAGAGAGTCTACCAGAACAGACGTTTTGTATTGTTGTTATTGAGTTAAGCACCGGTAATCGGTATCCTATATCTCGGCGCCGCTATTTGATGAATGTTAGTCCTGCTCGTGCGCTACATTGAATGCTTCCAATGGACGGCGATAAACTAGGAGCGGACAAGACGGTAGATCGCGAGAAGGTTTGTCACTTCAGTCAGTTGTTTGTTGTCTGCGAAGTGCTAGTTTGTAATCCGTTTGCAGGCAGGATGTGATGAACTCCAAGAGATTTAATAGTTTAAAAACTGCGATCTTAATCTTTAATAAAATCCACTTGACTCATGTAGACGTCCCACAATCCATTACTGATTCATCTAGCAGATCGGCTAGCTATTTTAGAGTATGAAGCATAAGTAGTTATTTTGTCGCAGCTAATACAGAAGCTAATACGTATGATTTATTCTAGAAAACCAGTTTACCTTCAACATACCATAAATCTACCTTCAACGTTAGAGTAATTCGATATATGTGTATCAATGATGTTCATTCGATACATGAAACGTCAGTGTAAGTCAAATCGTACAGAGCAATTGCACTAAAATTATTATATAAGTCAGTTGCTTGGTGTTAAATAAGATTCTAGTTTAGTCTACTACGCTTCAAAAGATTAAAATAACGATTATCTTATTTATTTGAATTTCAGACTTGTCCTCTGCTACTACGAGTATTTCTTTCTAATATTCGGCACCATTCACCTAGTGACTACGCGCGTGGACAAGTTCCCGCAAACGAACTTCAGGTAACAGCATCTTATATATAAATTGTTAACGATTCATCGTTCATTATATTGATCGTTCTTGTTTAAAGGCCTAGAACATACATTGGAAATTATACATTTTTCTTACTGCACAAGCAAATTATTGCCTCCAACTTGAATATATGAAGAACATCTGAGATAGACTATATTTTTATTGAGACAATAGTGCGTCTCGCTCCTCGTCATTTATCTAGTCGTAAAGCTTGTAGCATGCTCACTAGGTCTTTATAATATTGCAGTTGTATTGTGCCTTTTTATTAAATATAGGGACACCTAAGGTGTTTTAGGGCTGAAATCGGCCGTAGACGCACTTCGTATTAGGAATTATCCGTCCGAAGTAGCGTTTAGTGGCAGCAGTCCCGAACGAAAACCCGAAACATTTAGCTTGCCTACTGCAATTCGAAGTTAGGTCCAGCAGTATCGTTCGCTTTCGATCAAAAATGCAATTCAGATTTCCTGCCATTCGCAACAATTTACATCGGATTTTTATGCTTTATTCAGGTGTACACATGGTTAGATGCAACTCTTCGAGAGCTGACGGGTCTTGTTAAAGAGGTAAATCGCGAGGCGCGCCGAAAGGGCACAGTATTTGACTTCGCCTTCGTTTTCCCTGATCGAAACGGCCCGATGTATCGAGTGCGTGAAATCGGAACCACTGTACGTATTTAAGACACGTCTGGTGAAGACTAGTTTAAAGCTCGTGTCTGTAATAAAAATATGACCTATTACCAATGGTCTTACAATGCTTTATCAAATAAACTGTTTTAATATAAACAAAATGTTTTAAATAATTCGGCATAAGGTTTTACTTACATTACAAAATGTATGTGGACGTAAATCACGTATATTTGTTGCTATCAGCAACAGCAGTGCCTTATGTAACCACGAATCCTATACAAATTACTGCTTCATGCTGCGAATCGTAAATGTAATATAAGAGGAAAATCAGCCCATAGTACTTTTAATAGAAATAATGTAACATAAAAAAAATGTTAATCTTGAGATCAGTAAAAATAAATACATTAAAAAAAAAGGCAAGAAATACTTTGCCACAAATTAGCTGCCACTCAAATATCTACAGTTAGCGAAATAACAGATTAATATATTTGCTTCTTATATCTCATAACATATTTGTCGAATCAGTAGAAATTTTTGATCGTATCAAGTTTTTAAAACTACAAGGATGACACTTTATATACAATAATATCTAAGTTAAAACACGCATGCTGGCATCACAAAGAGAAATTCTTGTATCGTTTAAAATGCTTTTATTATTTTTCAGGTGTCAGGTCAAAAGGGTCCTGATGATTTCAAAACACTGCGCGAATGCCGCTTCACAATTGGCGACTACCTCGACATCGCAATCACTCCGCCTCGCGGGGGCAATCTACGATACTAGAATTCCTTTTCTTAGGCAAAAGATTGTAAATCAATAGTTATTTACAGTAACTGCTGACTGATCTTGACGCCTTGTTTCTCAAGCGTAGCATATAACACGAATCTGATCATTCACATTAGAATCACTCTATAAATATCATCCAATGGCCTCATGGCGCATAATTTTTATAGGGAACAAAAGGAGGCAGGAGCTTGAGTAAAGCAGCTGTGTCCGACAGAGATAATGTTGTAACAGCATTACCTGTTGCGAATGTCAAATCAGCAAGATGATAAGAAGGGTTATGCAGTATTGTAGAGCGAAAACATTTGTGTTATAGTAGAGGCGTAAACCCAACGAGGCTTTATTTGTAATCATACTCTGGAAATATAATAAAACGCATTTGTATATACTCCTTCGTAAAGAACATGAAAAACTAGTTGGTGAAAGATGGTGTTTCCTTCGCTATGGCATTGAGATTAGATGCATTTAACCGTTACCCTGCGCACCAGCAGATAAATACTCTACGTGAACTAGAGACTTGAGGGCTCTCAGATAGCAGAGCTGTCTGTATATAATCCCATTAAATATTCAACCAACCATTTACTGATAATTTCATATTATTACCCGCGGTTTGAAGTCCGAGCGGTAACCTACTTTTATTTTCTCTTGATGTTAATCTGTACATGTCGACAATTTTTTCAAATAATAGTGACTTGTTTGTAGTTGAAGCTTCAAGCTGTAAGTAGTCTGCTTCTTGCTATTATTGCAAATCAGTAGTAGATTCAATGTTGGATAGCCTTCCAGAAGTCTAGCGTCGAGTTAGAATCACGTGAAAGTATACTCATGGCGAATGGTAACACGTAATTGTGAAAAGTCTGCTTCAATCTAATGAATTTAACGACTATAGCATATGCAGATTATCTATGTAATGATATCTAAAGCATGGAAAACGCCCATATTAGCATAACGACTTTCATTACGTTTTTTATTTTTATTCATTTATTTTACATTGAAGTGACCATCGACCATACTAAACGCGATTTTTTGCCTCTCGGGTCCTTTCGGGTGCTTTTCTTGCGATGAATTTCCGCCGTCATTACGCGTCTCGCATTTTTTCCAGGATTGCTAATCCCAGGTCCATTCACACTCGGCGTCTAACCAGATCATTTTGAATATTTTCTTCTCTGCCGCGAAATTATTTTTATACCCGAACAATACTATACGCAACATCTTACTATCGACATGGTCATCACGGTTTCTTTATATTTATCATGTTTAATATTCTTTGTTATTAAATAAAAATACGCTCCACTAAATAGCGAAGAGTCGTGTGGTGTCAAGGGTTGAAAATTGTAACATACGTACTCTTGTTACTTGTATTCTATTTATCATTTTTATTTATTCGATCACTGAGAGACATGTTTCCTTCGCATGCTTTTGAGCGCCAAAAGCATATACACTCACTGTAAACAGCAAAATGTGTCTAGTCTTCTCGTAACATCCTTACCTTATCTATCCACATTTTTTTGCACACAGTTCTAAGGGTAGTCTCATTCTAGGGTACTTGCTCGTATCTCATAACATTTTTTTCTTTCGCGTATTACCACTTCTATAACTAATATGTTTATGATCTCGTCATTCTTTTTATACACAACTACGTGCCCAGCTTCCGATGACATCAACGGGATTACGACATTACTCCATTCTTAATCATCATTATTCTTCGATCAATACAGGAATCGGTCGGTCGGTCAGTGCAGCTTCGATGCACCGGCAATCTGTTAACGTTCAATAGCTGTCATTGGGTAATTAATAGACCATATTTTCCTCAACATTACTGTCATGCATGAATCCTATCGCTTGATTCGAGTCCTTCTGTATGCCGTCGAAGATCGCTTGCAGATCTGGTGTGCTCTTGATCTGATTTGTAAACTCAACCACTTGAGGATTCTTTTCTGCGTCCGTTATTTGCTGCAACGCGGCGAAAGCACGAAGGGCCGACCTACAAATGAATCGGAGCGGAAATTGGCAGAAGGCTTTTCAGGAATTAGGCATGCTAACTATAGAAAACACAGATACGGTTGAGTACAACGGTCTTTCAGATGGCACAGCAAATAAAAAACTAATATTGTTGTGGTTTGTAATGAAGGTCCGGTTCTACGATAGAATAACGATGTCTGAACCGTCATATATTAATATTGTTGGTGCAATCCGTTAGCCTTTGCATGTGGAAAACTAAGACCATGTTAACTTCTTAGGGCAAAAAAATCACCAACGCACCAGAAAGCTCTGCTGAAGATTGATAATAACTGTTATACATAGAAATCCACATAGATAACGAATAAGCGTTAGTTAAACTACAACGTACCGTTTTAGTTCTTCTTGTTTCTCGAGTTCCTGTTTGACTGGAAAACTCTTGAGTTTGGTGTTGCATGGAACCTTCAGTGCATCGATCACCGTATCCATGCGCTGCAGCAATGCCAATGGGCAAATCGACGAAAGCCGCACAAGCATAAGATAGGTAAGCATTTTAATGTCGTAATGGTCTTTAAGACCATCTTCGACGTGTGTTAAAAACTCGAAGATATCAATACGGTCCATGCAGGAGTCGAGAAGTGTGTACATACACTCGAAAGCGGCCTTCCGCAAATCGAGACCATCATCCACGGTGTGCTTGAACGGACCCATCTCCACCTCACGGATGAGCTCATTTCGCACCTTCGTTTCTGTGTAAAGCTGTGGCATGACCTGTCCCAGGAGATCCCGCACAAGTGCAGGCTTGTTATGTGCCGCCGAATTGAATGCTACAAGAGCTACACGACGGACGTTAAGGTCACTATCTTTGAGAGCATTGAAAAACTTGCCGATATCATCCTTCAGTAGAGCATCGATCGGTTGCGGCTGGTCGGATATAGTAAACTTCATGGCTGTTACCACGGTGGACCTGGCATATGCGCTTGGGCTGTCCAACGAGGTAGCCAGCCGAGGTAGCAACGTCTCATGATCGACCAGAGTCAGTTTGCCGAGACACTCAGCGACCACGTTCCGCGTACCCTCTTCTTCGCATTCACAGTGCTTCATGAGCATCATCCAGATTGCCTCGATATACGGCTGCAACGCATGAACCGCTGCCGCATTTCCACTTTGGCAGGATATGGTTTCTTTCAGTGCATGCAACAGTAGGTATTGTTTCTTCGGGTGGTCATCCACCTCTGACAAAATAAAGGGCAAGTATTCCTGTAAGTTACCAATGGCTACGCTACCTAAGGCGAACGAAGCGGCTGTCTTTACTTCCTCTGAATTCGATTCGAACGCCTTGAGCAGCACAACCTTGAGCTCGGGAATATTGCTGAGGTCGACATGCTTGCCAATCTCGCCAATGGCCAATAATGCGAACTGATGCACGGAATCAGCGGATTGGTTGTTAGCGATTTCATTAAGGAATTGAGGCACCACCTGACACGCTTCCGGATTGTTTAGGTTGGCGACAGTTAGAGCAGCTACACATTTAGCTATCGAGTGATACGCATTTTTATGAATCGGCTGATTTGTTTGACTTTGTTGGTACACTAAACTTGTGAGTAGCAATAGAAGCTGCCGGAAGCCTACACCATCGACATTCGAGTATGAAAGGGTCTTGAAGAATTCGAGCATTGCATTCAAGGCGGCGCCCTGCAATAGCGGAGATTTCACTAGTACCAGGATCTCCGGCAGGATCTCTTTTGTTACCGTCAGTAATGATTGGCGATGAACTTGTGCCACTGACGTTAGCAGATGGAGAGTCAACTGTGAAATGTGTAGGTCGGCTTCGCTGATTAGTGCGCGTAACTCCTTCATGATGCAGTTTACCATGTTTGCGTTTAAAGATAGTGGATAGTGCTTAAATAGTGTATCAAGAAGGGTTAACGTGCTCAACTTCAACGCGCGTTGGTTCTTCCTTAAAAAACTAGCCAAAATAGCTACTCCATCACAGAGAATCATGTCAAGTGGAATTTTAAGAGGCGAGCCAGCAATTTGTGTTAGGGCTTTTACCGTCGTTAGTCGAGTAATCTCATTGCGAAGACGGTCAAGAAATATCGGTAGACACGATTGAAGTTCCTCCCGCAGGTGATCTCCAAGGACGGAAATAATTTGCCCCATACAGGAGATTGCTCGTTCCTTTACCTCTTGATCAATGTCGGTGGCCTTCAGTTTGACTAGGGCGCACTGGTAGATTTCTGGAACATACGGTGAAAAATTGAAAGCGTTTGGCTGGCCGTCGAACGGGCGTAGCACTCGAAGAAGCAGCTGCAAAACATTCAATGCTTCCGAACTGATCTTGTAGAACGGATCGTACACTGCTTGAACGACTGCTGGTACAAGCACAGGCACGTGCGGGTGGAACACGGCCACTGGATGATTCGAAATGAGGCACTGAAGAAAACCAAGTGTATCGATCTTCATGTTTGACGAAGTGTTTTTCTCTTTCTCCGAAAAGGAATTTTGGATCGCGGGAATTAAGGCCGATATGTGGTCTGAGAGTGCGCCAGGTACCACAAGTGATAGCTCGGTAAGGAGATGGAACGAGCCTTGTCTTGTCTTAATCGATTTCTTTTCTTTGCGCAGTTGTCTCGTCAGCGACTTCACTAAACTAGGCACCTGCTGTCTGAGCAGTTGAACGGGAGCCGCATTTGTTTCATCACCTCGTGGTCCTGTTGAACGTGTTTGACGCAGTAAAGCGACATATGCATTAAATATGTCAACTTTGACATTTTCCTCGCGTTCTTTGAAGCGAGTGACGAGGTGTGGAGCGATTGTCCGGTATAGATCCGAAAGCATATCGTGACGCGTGGCAATGACAGCCTCAAGACATTTTGCTGAGGCACGGCGCACCTTCCATGAGATGTCGTCATCGTCCGAATACTCTTCTTCAGCTTCGCCGTCACTTTCATCTGCTTCCTCGCCATCCGTCTCCATTCCTTCTTCTCCATCTTCGTCATCGTCATAGTTGTAGTTCGGATCATAGCTGATGAAATCTAGGCAGATGGAAATGATTGACGGAATGTAGCCTGCATTAAGAGCAGTGAACAAATCACAAAAATAGTATACGGACCCACATTAGATAGTCTATTCAAATCAGTGCTATATATAGCAGGCACGCAAATTACAGAATTCTGACACAGTCGATGACTGATTTTTTATCTATATAAGTGTTAGCTCTAAACTGTGTAATCATTTAGGCGTTGAATCAACAAATCTCACTTGGTCAAATTTATCGTTAGATTAGAACTATTCTTAAAGGTTAAGATTTCTCGCAACTATGCGAAAAATATAGGAGAAAACCAGTATCTATGGCTACGGAATGTAACCATTCAAAAACGCTTGATAAAAAAAAAACTCATTTAAATTGCCGCATCATATCGTCTAAGTATACTCACAAGTAATTTCCTTAGGACATCTTCGTACTAGCATTTCCAATGCCTGTAAACAGTACTCGCGTAATTCGTCGCCATGTTCATCTCCATGTTCATGAGCTCGTCGACAGAATCCAGTCAAAAAAGGCATAAGTTTTTCAAGGTGCCCCCCAATACGATGGCCTGAATGCCGCGAAATCGTTCCAATGCACTGAATATAGGTTCGAGTCACGGATGCGTTCGTGTTCGTGGCTGTTGCCAACTCATGGATTAGAGTTTCCATTAGCTTGTTGAACAGATTGTCCGAACATGACGTAGTTAAATATCTATAAGAGAAAGAATAATAATTATTATTCCGCTTATAGAGAAGGACTAATTATAGCAGTAATAGGAAATTTACAAACACTTGTGTGTATATATATATTCGCGCAATATGCTGCCGTCCTATGGATGAGGTTGTATTTCACCAAGTGACGTATACACCAGTAGTCACCTATCGTGGCGTCTGTATGCACCCTCACAGATATTCGATGGCTCCAAAACTAAGCCTAACTAGACAAGCGAGACTATCGTTAGGTGTCATCTAGTAAATTAAAACTTACCCAATCGAGGTGATCGCCCGCTTACGAACCGCCAGGCGCGGGCTTCGAAGTTGTGGCAGAAGCGCCTCAAGGATCGATGCATGATACATAAGTAAACTACCACCAAATCTGTTTAATAGATCCCCAAACAAATCGAGCACTTCCAATTGGATCGAAACCTCTTCCTGCTTTGATGCGTTCTCCGCCACCACAGCGTTTAGCCGCGTGGTAATCTTTTTGCAAATTGAGGCTACTAGTGTGTCACAATTAGGAGGTAATTCAGCGATGACAGTCTTTAATCCAATTGAGGAAATGTCACGCAGCTCTTCCGCCTTTTCACTGACCATATTCTTACAAAGGGTCTCAACGATCTGCTCAACCTGGTACTCCTTCACTTTCTTGACCAATGGGCCAAGACATTTGACGGCAAGATTCTGTACTTCACCTGCAAAAGAGTACCGGGTACATCAAACAAGATTTCAAAATTGAATACTATTAATCATTATTGCATAATGTTCGCTTAATGGTCACTAAGTAGTGCTTATTCAAATCTAGGACTTCATATGAGTATGCATTCATTGCACGTATATATAATTGGGAAAGGTCAATTTCACAACCAGCATTAATAGGGGGCCACTAATAGCACTAAAGATCATTTTCGTATAGTATGATTGGCTGGCGACTAGTAATAGGATTTATAGATAGCTTTCTTTTTAATCCAGGTGAAACAGCAAAATTATGTTACATTAAAGTTAGATGATAGTCGTTTAGTTAACTTTCGATTGCTAGCGAAACGGTTTTTCTTTAATATTATGAATTAAATAAAGCACTTCTACTTATTACCAACGTGCGACAAAGCAATATCAAAAAGCATCTCATGAGGAATAATTCTCAACATCAGCTCAAGTAGCAAACGTGTGAATATAACCCACAATGTCGTTCGCCAACAACAACTTGTCTAGATTCAGATCACTACCAGAAATCAACGAAAGGTCAACGAACTATTTTTGCTAAAAGTTGGAGACCCCGGCGTTGAATTTGGACTGCGCGCGCAAAAAAATAGCGGTAGCGCGGGCTACATTCAACTCGGTCATTCACAACTAGAGCGAGAGCTGAAGTGTCACGTAACTAAATTGTACTCAATCGGCGTTATCACCAATGCGTTTCATGTCTACAGTAATCTCTCTAACGATATCATCTCCGTTGAGTGATACCAATAAAATACAGGTATGACTTTTGCTTCAAATTACGCTACTATTCTATACAAAATTAGCTAGCAGCAAATCCGAACTTAATGTTATTATGCACACGAAATACATCTGAATACCGTATGGGGCCAAGTGAAGTATTACAACATTAAACAGAGAACGCATAATCGTTGGGTATTGGGTCGTACGTCTGTATGATTGATAATGGCAAGGTACTATAATATTTATTGCAAAACCGTTTATTGAGTGAATGATGGGCTACTCGCTCATGCTCGTGTGAAATATGGTATATTCCTTGAAAATGCACCGATATTGTCAACAAAGAACACACTTGTACTTCAAGCTTTCGCCTAATTCTTCCACTATTCTACTCGACTAGGCTACATAATGCCTCCCCTCTAAGCATTGCTCCTATCCGCTGCTCTGTCTTGCTGGATTCGTTGAATTTTTTTGAATAGCCAATCTAAGTCATAAGCATTATTGCTTAAGCAAACCGCTGGTGAGAGTGTATTCAGTAGATAACTGCATTTCAGTTGTCGAATTTATGCAGAGACCCAACGTGGGCTATTTCACTATGTTATTGTTTCCCTTTTGTTTTGCTGTTATCATTCCCTGATTCTAAGTCACGATGGTGCCTTGTAAAGAGAATGCTTTTTATGTCGTTGTCGTTTTCATTCAAGAACTAGAAAAGTTCAACTTGCAGGCTGTACTCGGAGAACGTGTTTTTGTTGTTGTCATCTACAAAGCAGTACCATTTTTGTCGCGAAGTAGATGAAGCAGCATGCTGACAACCTTGCGCTCCGATTCGTCGTCCAATTTGATCGAGTCTTTTTGCAGCTCGGCCATCAGATCGTTAGTGGCCATAAATCTATAGTCTTTATCCGCCGATGTCATCTTGTCGAGCAGATTTGATATTTGGTAAGCATTAGCCATCTTGAGGCCGGATAAGTCGGTACGACTGTTGTCTCGATGCTATATCTGACAGCTTCGTCGTAAAACGACACACACGATATACGTCGAATAGGAAGCACACGGAATACACAAGCAACGCGCGCCAGCTAGCTCGTGACAAGCGAACTTCTCCGAGAATGTTGATGACCAACTGAGACGGATAGTTCTTGCCAATCATCTACTACACTTATACACGGCCACTAGGCAGAGCCGGCTCGCTGCTGCCACTTCGCCACTAACAAAACATTGTCGGCCCTGGCGGCGAGAACCAGCATCCGAAATAGCGACGCAGATCTAGACCGCGAATCCGCATGAATGAGTGCGGCGAGGTGCCGCCAAAATTTCAATCTACCTCAAGGGCGCCAACAACGGGTTTACCCGTCAGATCCCTACAATCCGAGAGGCTCACAGGCGGGTTAAAGGCAGGGGTAGTGGAAGAGGGAAATATCAGCGCAGAGGTGGTTCAACCAAGCGGCGAAAATACGCTGTGGTCGGTCACTCAGACGTCAACATTAAACAGGTATTCCTGTTTTGTTGCATGTCGTTAACGAACGATGTTAATATTATTCACAGGTACCCAATTTTTAGTGTATAGGTGATGCGCGAATTATGCTTATGGAAGCAATAGAATACAGATCATTGAATGGTGTTCTTCGATAGCGTCATGTGTGTGTCGTTCGTCATTCTCGTAGTTTGTACGGCGGGTTAGCATTATCGTGGATGTAAGCAGATGGCCTATATATAACAAGCTTGAGTTATCAATATGGATTATATAAGAGAGAAACAAGTGCATTTCATTAGCGACCTATTCTAGCTGGTACAATAGGTTCTAATTAGCGTATGCGCGTAATATTTCGGGTGATGACCACGGAATGATCGTGGATGTGAGCAGCTGGCCTCTATGAAACAAGTTTGAGTGTGACAATTATTCACAGCTATCAAGAAGAGTTACGTAGGAGAAGAACAAGTGCATTTCGTTAGCAGCCTATTCTACAACAGGTTCTAATTAGCGCATGCGCGCAATAGTCTGGGTGGTGACCATGGGCTTTTCCGAAGAAATAATCTGCGTCTTTAGTTATCCAGTCTCTGTTCGTGCTTACTGGCCACCTGGTAGAATGACATTAAATGTTAACGATTTAGAGTTCGTCGTTGACACTCTAATCGTCAGAAGGCCGCAGCAGATTTGACTGCCACGGTTTATGCAACTCCCGGCAAGAGATTGCATCTGCGGTGAATCCGCCTAACTTAACTGACCTCTATACTTAGTGTCTTTCATAGCTGTCCCTTTTCCAACAGGCCTCTGTATTGTTTGACAGTAAATCTTACCACCTATTTATTCTCCAAGTTAGAGACAATTGTTAAGTTGTTGAGCACAATTCGGTTCTATCATTACTGCTGTAGAGTGCAACTGGTTTCCCCTCGTGTTCGGTGGCTTCTATCGTTCCACTATCAGATCTTCTTTTTTATGACTTGTGTCATGGCATCGACTGCCCTCGTTCCCCTACCCCTGTTTGGCATAAAGTTACTAGGCACTTTCGCAGAAAACTAAGGAGCTTTTCGTTTCGAGCTAATTTTGTTGCGAGTTTTTCTCCAACCTTGCCGCCGCTGCTAGTATCGCAAACTGCAGTCACGATAGAAGTATTTGTATGATTTGAACGATAAATAACAGGCATCAGTAACAGCAGCGGCAGTGGGCGCCCCCGCCACCGCGGTTCGCACTGTTGTTTCACAGCTTAATGATGGACCGCAGCATAACGTTACCTACTGCAACAATAATGGCATAGGCTGACAGTGTTGACAGTAATACGTAGCCAGCCGTACGATTGTCGGTCCTTCTGGTCGTCGATCACCGGTGCCAGCAGCCGCTGCTGGCTGGTATCGACACCGTCAAAACAGCACCAGTACAACTCAGCAAAATGCCGATGGTCAAAAGAGAAATAACAACAGAACGGCCGTAACGGCAAGGCAAACGCTGTAGAGAGGCTGTTGACTGACTGTCTGTCTGGCTTGCTGCTTACCAGTGTGCTACAGTCCACTGCTTCTTTCTTCGCATCAGCAGTGGTGACGGCCTCGGGAGCTGCTCTTACCACTAGGCTGCTGCAAACATCAAACGCCTGTGATCGCAGCTTCAACCACTGCTTCCACTGGGACCATCTCCAGTGTGCTACTTACACTGCTCATACAGCTGGTTGCCACAGCCGCAGCGCTGGTTGCCTGCAGGCTGGGTGACGACCGCCGGAGGTGTTCTGCCTTTCCTAAACAGACAGACACGCATAGAAACGACGACAGATGGGGAAAAGCCAAATCGATCGTTGCTGGTCGCTTATTACGATGGTAGAGAATGAATTGTGTAAATCCGCTCGCTGGTGGCGCCAGTTGTTACTGCAGTAACAGCAACAACTGCGACGACGGCGACGCCGTCGCCGCTATAGCAACAGCAGCGCTACAGTGTCGCCGCCTGTGCAAGTGGTGAGGTGCCGGCGGCCAGTCCTGTCGTAATGGAGAGCGGCGGCGTGGAATAATCGAGTTGGGTACAGCTGGTTGATTTCGGTGGCACACAGTAAGTGTTATTACTGCAGCCGGAATGAACGGCATTCCGTTTAGTTCTACTTGCTCTGCGTGTTGGATCTACTCTTGGGGTTAATGTCATCAGTGTTGACCAGTGTTATTTAGCATTATCATCATTGCATGCACGTTGCAGCTGCGACCATTTCGTCGGATGAAAAGTCGTCGTTCGACGACTCTGCTGTCTGTCAACATCGGCAGCAGTAGGTGACTGGTTCAGAGTCGTGTCCCATCCCATATCCGCAACCACTTTGGATATTGCTAGTGTAACTTCAGTTTAGCAGTAGGCGCAGCGACAGCAGCTTAGAAGGAAAGCTCGGAAGCGAAAACCACTCCTCGGGCAGAGCTTGATTTAAGTTGGTTCCAATGTGAGTTGTTAGTATCAGTCTTCTATACGGTGCGGTGCCATGCTTCGCTCTGTTGTGATATAGAGAGAAACGCGATGAATAGCAAGTGAAGTAAAACAGGCTTTTCTCGTCGCATGCCACTGTCTCCTTTGTACAATATCTTCCAGGTAAAATTTAGGGGGCGACGCCGAAGTGCAACTAAACGAAGGAAGTGGTTACTGCCGCTGGTCGAGTTTGTCATGTTTATTTTTCCCGATAGTAATGGGAAGCCCTCTAAAAAAGATCAGAGTATCAGCGGGTGACGTTGGTGCTCAGTTTTGGAAAGCAGCGACGGTTGCTAAGTGACAGTCAGCGAACTAGAATAGTTCATCCAATAGCCGCTACCATTAGGAATGGCGGTAATTACGATGCTACTGCTGCTGCTACTGCTGCTGATGCGTTAAACGTGCCATTGACTGTTTTGTAGTTCGGCCTTGGATATCAAACACTTACTGCGGCGATGTTAAGTGAAACTGTAGCATCAATTTCACCAACATCTACAGCAGCGGTTCAGATGAAGTTCACCCGGAAGCTCCTGTTATTAGACTAACTTGCTTCCATGGACTGCTCGCCTCAGCAAGTAAGCGAAGCTCTGCGTAAGAATTACTCTATTTACCACTGTTTTACGTCCTATTGTCGACTCTTTTATCAATAGTAAACTTTTTTTAATAATGCTCAAACAGTAAGGGACAGTCTTAACACGCCATGGATAAGTGCACAATCTCAAGTGCTACCACGGCTATTAACATATCCCGTTCAATCTACGTCCAGTGCGTCTTCCTTTAGTCTTTATTATATTAGAAGCTTTCGTTGGTACAACGTCAACATACTTAAACTGTGTGAACTTTCTCTGTTCGTTTTATCTGAGTCCTAATAAATTATAAACATTCCCTTCGTTCATACGTACACACGCGATGGGATAGTACTGAATTGGATACGGACAGTGGTAATGATTGCTTGATAGTAGCGCCACTAAGACCAGAGCTAACGTTGTCGCCGTAGCCAAAAAACAACGCTGCGGAGTCAGGTGATTATGACAGCTGCAGTGGTCAAGCGTTGATGTCAATGAAAAACCGCGGCTGCTCGTTGCGGCAGCCGCGAAACTCCCAAACAGTACCAGCGGTGACTCCGACTTGAGCGAACAAACTCGTTTTAAATTTTCTTCTATATTTCTCACCTATGAGATAGTGCCCTGAGTTGTATGATCGTTGTCCTTGAGAGGCCATCGGGACCAAAGTTGGAGCAGCAGGAGCTTATATAGGGTAGACTGCGTACAGAATTATCACGGTCTATTTGCTTCATTTTGTCAGTTAGATGAAGATGATACGAGAAGGGTGTTTCTAGCGGTGCTTCTAAAGGGAAAGCTTGAATCCGCATAACGTCACCGACACACTTACTATGGTGATGCCGCCAGAGTGTTGCAGCTATTGCGAACAGCCCAGACAGAACGGCGGGGTTTTTGCGGTTGACAGGGCTGCCGGTGATGCTAGTTGTCGCCGTTCGGCATTACGACGTTGCTGGCGGACGGGCGAACAGACGGGTTTATAGGATTAAGTGAACGAAAATTTCCTTCTGACTCTTCGGACAGCGTGTCAAAGATTCGGTTAATTGTTTGAGTCGCTGTAGATATATAACACAGGTTGTGTACGACCGCGGCCAGCGTACACACCTGCAAAGATGTTATACGATCATATTGATAGACGTTACGAGTACGTTAGATACGAAGAAATTAAAAGAAATAACTGATAAGACTAGTGAGAAGGCTTGTATTTATCTTTAATGAGTGTAAATACGTTTTATCGCCGGTCAGCCAGCTTTGACAAAAAGAGCAACGTCTAGAGATAGGTGCATTTGCAATATTTTAATGGTTTAATTTTTCAATAGTGTGGCCTTTAGTTGGCCTTAATTTTTAATATAACCCAATAGGGCCTATTCAATTAATAATCGGCAGCACGACATTTCGAATTTATCCACACCATAGAATAAACAAGTATTGCGGTACACTATCTCACTTTGTTAACACCACTCGCAGTGATGTGCAATAAATTAAAAAAATAAATAAATAAATAAAAAAAAAAACAAAATTAAAATGATAACGAATGAAGTTACCGTGCTGCTGGTTATTGATTAAACAAGCTTTCCATTCGGTTGGTTTCCCAGAAATATACCATACAAATCCATGTATTCAAACCACCTATTACCAGTCTAGCACCATATTACATAACATAGACTGCAATGCCAAACATCAAGATATATGTGAAAAAAGTCCCGTAGGGCGCGAGTGCGTTGGCTTACTGTAGAAGAAGATAGTTTTTCCATCTCGTTATGACGAAAGCTTTCGATGGAACTAGTCATTCACTATTGCGTTTGTTGTGTTGGTCTTCAATTGCGGCCAAGTCGGGACGCCAACAAAACGTGGAAGACACGACAGGATTAACGGACAATAGTACGATAGCTTAATGTTCATATCTAAGTGTAACGATTTAATGAGATAGATTAGGCGAAATGTATTACTGCTATACAGACGTAGAGCGACTGGAGTACTTTCAGTAACTTCAGCAGCCCCTAGGAACACGTGAATTGACGAATGTCAACATACAATAAGTAGTCATTAATGATTGTCCAAAGCAGGGAACTCGCCAATAGCTCTAATTACAGTACGTCGCACTGCTAAAAAATAAGTTAGCATGTATTTGCCGTCCATCGAGCCAAACATACCCGATACCGCGTCTCTGGGAGATAAGACCCATGCAAAGCCTATTACAGGTAGACATGCACGCCGCAATTCAGTCGGGCACGATTATTGTTTCATATTCAGTTGTTCTAGACGGCAAGTATGATGGGACTGGTGCGAAGTGCAACCACCCGTGGGCATTGATCAGGAGCGGTTTCTGATACTTGAAGTTGAAAGTGTCATATTTTTACAGTACGTCACTATGTATCTCTCATTTTTACTGTCAGAGCTTGCAGTGTTGCCTCCCTTCAGTCCTGAACACTGAAATGGCGATACACTTGTTTAACGTGACAGTGCACGCTTGTTTACTCGGATGCAGAGATATTTGCTTGGAGTCGGCCATGGGAGACTTGCTACAGCTAAACTTCTAGGAAAGCTGTTGTTACATCTGTCTTCTCGTTTCTATGTAAATTTGTTATTTACTAAATCATTGGCTAGAAACTATTGCTTAGTTAGTGAAGGATAACAGAGGAGATTGCAGCTGTAGCTTCACGGTGAGTAACTGAATTTTAACAGTTAATCTTTAATTGTAAGGCTAATTCTTTCGATTCTCGATCTATTTTTATTATTAAAAAGGTCACCTTATCTATGATAAGCTGATATCGCTAAGTACAGCCACTCCATTCGTGATCTAAGTGATTAATAGCGTGCAGCTGCAACGTTAATCAGTTCAGGTTTGCAACTGGATGTAGTATTGTACTTGGTGAATTTAGCAACAAATATATAACAATTTTCTCTTTTCTCATTATTAACCTTTGTAGAAATACTCGTCGAGTTGTTTTGTTTAACGACAATTTTTTAAAAAATAACCTGGTTAGTCAGAGAATGGAGGTACATGTGCATTGCACACCTCAACCCCACCACCGCCATCATAATCGTCATCGCTGATGATAACTGCGCTTACATCATCTAACCAATGCCAAAAACCCTTAAAAATCATTAAGCGGCCAATAAGGTATACAAAAGGTATCAATCAAGTGCACGGAGAGGAAACACCATTATAATTCATTTTAACATGATCTGCACACAATGATTATTACTACTACTACAATTACTACTGTAAAATTAATGTCTGCTGTTACGGCGAAACAACAGACTTTTACTGATAGAAAGGCTGCTTTTGAGGTGCACAAGGTTGTTGGGTCTAAAGCGTTCACATCTCTAGTATCAGCTAACGCTTACATTCTTTGATCCGCTGTTCGTACGTGATACGTCGGGCCAATTCGACTGTCCAGATTCCTGTAAACAGTATTATCTAAATTTGTTCTGCTATCTTTTACTTACGCAATAATTGAAGGAGTGCACCGGGTATCGAGGCGAGACGATTCATACCACCAAAGTAGACTTCTCGTTCATCAGGAAAATTCGCGAAAATTCGGCTGATACTTAGAATGTCGCATGCGTGTAGATGATCCTATTAGTATTTTCTGACCAACTTTGAGCTTTATAGTTATAATAGTTTACTATGGTTAGCACTCATGACGTGCCCTCCAAAGCTAAGCATATTAGGATTAGATAGAATAGGTGGTAATTAAAATTGGTCTTACCAATACGTTGGTGCCCGTTGAGTACTTAAAATAGTCACAGATTGGATAGGCAGGTATCAGCGTTCGGATGAATTCACTCACTACATTCGTCGTGTGCAGCTAATATTATAGCGTTGCTACGTCTATTTTAGTATCTTGGCTCGTTTTCCCGTCTTTGTGAGAAGGTGCCAGTTCGGCAAAAATACATTATGCTTTCCAAAGATTTGGGCCATTTTTTTTTTTATTTACGAAACGTTTTTTGGTACGATTGTTATTTCGATAGTGCGAATTAAATCTACCAAATAGAACTGAAATTTTGCGACATTAAGGTATCGTTAGCTAATGCGCATACGGGATAACTCAACGAAACAGACCTGCAAAAAATTCACAGTTGAACTATATGCTAAACAGTGGAAATGAATGAATTAGACTCTGTGCATGATAAATGCGGAGAAGGAGCCGTATTTTTGGTAGTTTCACAAGTGCGTTGTTTAAAACCCAGCGTATTTGAATGGCTGTAAATAGGTCCTAAATCTAAATCGTATTACATTTTATACGTAGTTGAGTAGGAAGAAATTACTCATATCACGGTGAGTCATAAAATGGAAGTACACAATAGTACTTTTTGAAAGACATTTGTAGGATTTTAACATATTTTGTTAGTTCCAATTGACGTTTCATATTGATGAAAAGTACCAGATGTGTACGGTATTGCAAACTGCTAATTGTAGAGAATGTTGTTTATAGCAACGCTTCAACTGGCACCTAGGTTAAGTAATACGTTAACTTAATGTCTTTTCAAATATCAAAATAATTCACCCAGCCGTTTATGTTGGCCGAGCGCGTAGCCTCATAATTATTGAGTACAGAAAGCGTCGTTGTTTTCTATGAGCTAAAGGGGATTTCTCCTTTTCGAAAGCTTCCTAGCTGTTTCTTCTTGCTTTTGTTAACGAGTAGCGGGTGTTTTTCTAGAAAATGACGAATGACTTAATTGATGTAGCGATTCGCCCAGCGCTAGACACAACGGAAGCGCAAAGGCGAGCACGAGCCTCTCGAAACTTCAAAAGTTGTCGCGTTAAACGAACCTCGATCACTATTCGATATTAAAAAAAAAAACTATCTGAGCCACAAATGCAGTTGCAGACCACCCTTTCAAGAGTTTTTTCTTACGCTACCAAAATACAGTTGTTATGTTTTGGGCGTACTGCTTGACGCTAAGTATACAAAAAAGTATTTCTATTTAATTTTTTTTAAGCTTTTCACATTGACTCAGACTCCGTTGCATTTAATAAATGAAAAGCGTAGGCGGGGGTCATGAAA